AAGGTTTATTTGCCTTGAGAGTGCTTTTTATCTGAATACACAGAAATTTCACTATGCATTTGAAGGCTCATGTTAAAATCACTGCGGCAAAAAAACAAAGTAAAAACAAAACCAAACCAAACCAAAAAAATCCCAAGCCCTCCTAAAGCAAGCTGCTTTGAGGCTCTTCCCAAATGACCCAGATCTTTAGAGCAAAGTTTTCCTTTGCCTAGAAACTAAGTGGCTTTTCTTTTGCTCATTCAGCTGCTAGTTCTGGGAAAAGCCCAAAGAGAAACATTTAGATTGGAGGGGTCTTTGAGAAGAGGTGACAGTTGACTGATGAGCATCCATAAAATGACAAAGAATAGTTGTGTGGAGCCGGTGCATCACATCGCCTCTCCCTGGGAAACTAATTGCTCTGAATTGTTAATAGTAACATTATTTTTCTGGCAATCATTTCTTTTCAATACTCAAAATCAGCATGAAACAGCTCCTTTGACCGGACATAAAAGTTAAATGTCCCAATGTTGATCAAATTAACTTCAGCTATGTGACAATGGACTATATTTGTGAGAAAATAATGAAGGGCACAAAGGGAAGCTTTATGCTAAGATTTCACAGTTGTAATGTAAAAATGTTTCTGTTGAACTAGGCCAGGGAACATTTCAATAGGAAAACAGAAGAGCACTGTCACTTTCATTAAAAAAAAACCACACTCATTTTATGGATCTCAATGCTTGAGATAATTTCAGGAAGTTTAGATGGCTGGCACATCCCAAGAGCCAGGGATCAGGCTAACACCTCACGTCCTGTCCTTCCCAAACTCTTGAAGGGCCCCATCCTGCAGCTTTTCCCTCATTCCCCAGCCTGGGTATTGCATTCATACACTTCTCCCTATCAAGTGGCTACAGGACACAACTAATATGTCAATATGGTTAATTAGTATGAAATATGCACAAGCATTAGTTATAACAGATGCATGAAAAATTAAACCAAAATGTAAACTATTTTCCTCTCTTACTCACGTGTATAGTTTACACCCTCCAACTTCAGAAAATACAAAAAAACCAAGTATCATGCAAATAGGGCTAACCATACATGGCAATTATCCAAAATGCGCTTTGAAGAATTTTGTTTCCTCCACAAAATATAAAGCAGATGTTCTTATCTCATTTTAAAGCAAACTCAGTTTTGACTGTAGACCTGTGCCTACCTGGAACAACGTAACTGACTTCTGGGGGCTCAGCTTGGGTTTACACTGGTGCTGACAGAGACTCATTACACACCTCAATTTTCTACATACACACTGTAAGTATATTTGTAAAGTTACAAGCAAATATTTGTTCAACAACAGCGTGATTCCAATTCTCTTGGTCTTTAAAGCAACAATCTGACACCACATCTTCTCTCTTGCAAAATGGCAAATATTAAACGCAATCTGGCTCAGCACATACCAGTGAGCTGCCTTTAAAAGTGTTCTTTCTATTTAGCTAATTTTAATGCCATTAAAGTTAAATCACTTCAGGATTAACTTTATTAAAGCAGAAGCTTTATTAAAGCTAGAAGAACAAACCCTTGTACTCCTCAAACGTGCTATTAGGATTACTAACAGATTTCCCCAAGAGAAACTTTTAGCATAACTTTGTATCATTCCCCCAATGCTTTTTCCTTGGTTTCCCCCCAACCTCCCCCTGCTCACCAATGCTGTCACATTGCACAGCTTTTTTCTTATGCGTTAAAACTTTGTGGCTAAAATAATTTTAGAGATCGCAACTTCGCTGACAATCTGAACAGTTAAACTGATCCAGTTTAGCTTTATTTGCAAATCCTCTTCTGGTTTGCATCCCCAACTCCTGTGGTAGCTGTTGCCCAGATAAAAGGCCGTACATAACTCATGTTTATGAAGATGCAGCACGAACACAACTGAGCTTTCACTGACTCCCACAGTGACCTAAATCAACTGTGAGAAGGTGTTTCTATTTCATTCAGTGAAGGTTTAGCTCAATAAACTGTTTTCCTTCTCGGCATTGTTCATTGGGTTTGAACTGCATCGCCGTTAAATGCTCTTTAGCAGTTTAAAGGCTTTAAAGGAAAAGACTTATCAGTCTCTGTTTTTAACAGCACTAAATCTGCATTATTAGTTCATGCAGATAAGGCGATTTGAAAGCTCAGCTTGAAACCTCTCTCTTTCTGTATTTATCTGACACTGCATAGTTCCAGTAGCTCAGCTGGAAATGTAGATCTATGAAACTTTAAAGAGAGATTAAAGCCAAGAAAAGAAGTACTTTTCCCCCTATAGCTGCTCTCACTTTCCCTTTTCCTGCTGTCTGAGGGAGCGCTGGGGGACAATGGCCAAAGATGGTTCCCAAAGCCCCTGAATGGGGACACTGTTGGTGGCAGCATTCATTCAAAGTAAGCTCCAGTGTATTGTCCTCCCCAATCAGCAGATCAGAATAGAGTGCGCTGGTGGCTGCCAAAAGGTTAGTCCTGCCGATGAAAGGGGCTTCCCATTATTCACTGGCTGCAGAACTCCCCCTTTGTGCCCGCAGCCCCGGCCGCACTGCGGAGGTCCGGATCTGCGGCTGGCTGCTCCCTCAGAATGAACAATGATCCTCGGCCGGCTCGCCGTGCCACCGTGCAGCCCGAAATCCAGGGGCTCCTTTTCTAAGGACAGGAGCCGGGGCAGTTTTTGGCAGTGTCACATTTTAATGATATACCATCGTGACATCCCTGACCCACAGCTGACACTAATACTACAGTCTCATTGCCTTGCCCTTGCCAGGGCATCGTGGGAGGTCCAAAGCCAAAATTAGCTAATGAAGCACACTGTATGCTGCAATAAATAATGCAAAAGGTTTGCACAGGTTTCCCTCATGCAAAGCATTAGAAAAGGAAAAGATACCAATGGAGCCAAGAAAAATGAAAAGAAAAAAACCACACTGCTCTATGCAACAGAACTCAAGAATATGCATCCAGACTGCACCGAGATCCTTATCTTCCTGAGCCCTGCTCTGTAAATCAGGGACCTTTTATATATATGCTGTCTATGCAAACCTTCCAATTGCCTCCAGCATTTTCAAGCGATTTGAGCAGGTTTTGCAAGTGATACAAGAGAAAGACAATACTGGCTTTTTCCTGTTCACCCCTGGGACATCCCAAAGGTGATGGTAAATTCCTGCTTGGAGAAATTCCTGCTTAGCCCCCTGCTGGGGGAAAGGCAGTCTCGACTATCCCACCTACCGCCCTACAGGACTCAAGACCCACAGAGAGGAAGGAAAGCTGAGAAAGAACACTACTGGAAAGGCATTTACACACCACTGCAACATTTCCAAACATTTTCAGTGAAAAGCTACAGAGGGAAAAATGGCAACGAGATATTTTCCAGCACATAAACTGCTTTGCTCAGGAGTGTCTGTAACTTGCAGGCTGCTGCCAGAGAGAGGCAGAAGGGCAGACAGGTGCCTGTGGACAGGGATGCCCTAGGGATGTGCCAGGCAGCAGAGGAGCAGGGCAGACAGGTGCTTGCAGACAGGGATGCCCCATGGCTGTGCCAGGCAGCAGAGGAGCAGAGGCTGCCCATGAGGCCTGGCACAGGCTGCCCTCAGCCAGCAGGGCTGGCCCTGGCCAGTGGTGTGGCCCCTCCAAAGCCTGCGTGGGGCAGCAGGATGGGGCTCAGCACCCCTGCCTGGGCTGGGCCCCCATTCCTCGCCCTGGGGAAGGACAGAGGTGACACTGAGCGGGTGACACTGGCCAGGGAACAGCAGCAGTGCTCCCATGCTCATTGGGGTCCTGGTGAAGAGGCTCATGGCCATGGCTGCTGGGCAGCAGGGCTCGGGGCAGGAACAGCACACAAAGTGCTCTGGTTCTGTACTCCTCCCAGGCTCAGCAGTTTGTTTTAAGGCCCCCATTAGGCCATGGATTGCAGTGTGTGCCACCCTGCTCTGAAGGGACACGTTAAAGCTCTGTTTCTCAGGCAAACATGAAGCTGGCTGGCACCTCTTAGTAGAAATACCTGTTTACTCTGCCAACACACTGATGCCCACACAGAAACATAGTTTTCTTACTCAAGAGAAAGCTGTCTTCTTCCTGGCTTTATAATTAGGGTAGCTGTAAATTTCTGGGTATTTTTGGGGGCTCCTCTGTATTGTATCACTCATCAGACAAACCAGCTCTGTAATACCACCAGAACCCACAGGGCTCCCGACACCAGCAGGGACTGTACACAAGAGCTGTGCTGCTGCGGAGATAAGCTGCCTGCTGTACCCAGCTGCTGTGGAGATTAAAGCACGCCAGCTCTGTGTGGAGGCACTCGCAAGGAGAGGCTGAAAGACCTGGGCTGGCTCAGGGTGCAGCAGAGCTGTCCACATGAGGACTCTGTTGCTGGCTTTACCTGTTTGGTAGTCACAGAGAGAAAAAAGCCAGACTTTGCTCAGCAGTGCATGCCAAAAGATCCAGGTGATGGACACAAACCACTTTGAGGAAAATTCTGGCTGGATAATAGGGACAGAAACCTTCACAGTGAGGGGAGCAGAACACAGCAATGTGTGGCCCAGAAGAGCTACAAACCATCATGCTGGAGCTGCTCAAAGCTCAGCTGGACAAGCTGTTGAAATCAGCCCTGCTCTGAACAGAGGGATGAGTAAGGGACTTCCAGAGGTCACTTCCAACTGGAATTATTCTGTTATTCTGTAACTGAAGATGCACTTGAATGCACTTCATAAGAGCTCACACAGTCTAAAAATAAGCTGGTCTACCTAACACATTTAGAAAATAAGTGTGGTTCCTACTCTGCAATTCTGGTGACTTCAGAGTGTTCCCTGAGATCAGTTATTTGGCTTTAAAGAATAAGTGTCATAAAGTGATCTGTAACCTGCACTGTCTAGAAAACTCTGGCAAGCAGTAACCACTTTCAGGTGACAGAATAAAACCCTCTACATTTCTGAGTGTGCCATTTGAAACATCCTTCATTCGCTGCCCATGAACACAGAGATTGAAAGAGGCCAGGAAAGGCTAATACATACCTATCAAGTACATAGCCAAGAGCCTTATGCCGTATTCCTGAGTAAACCGATGGGCTTGTTTCCCAAGCAATTAAATTGGAAGCATCATGGAAAAGATGAATGTTTACCAAGTCAAAGGCACTATGACAAAAAAGGAAAAAAATAAAATGATTCAGGAGAAAAGAAAAAAAAAACATTTGTTGCATCAGCAAAGCATTCAACACAGCACTTACTGTATTCACTCTTATGTTACCTTAATATTTACTCACAAGAACTGTGCAGATTAAGCTATCATAATCAGAAAATTGTCAGACTGCCATCAAGCTTACAGCTCATCCACAGATAAGACCCCCTCAAATCTTTTGCATAAAGGATGTATAACATGAAAATGAAAAGCTATTTGCCAGTTACAATTCCAGAAATCAGGCAGTACCCTTTCACTAAAATATTTTTAAAACAAAATTAAATGTGTAAACAAACAACTTCCAGTTTCAAAGCTGCAGCTAAGCGTCAAGTACAACTGTAGCTCTGCAGTAAACAACATGAAAAGCTACTGAGAGGAGAATGTTACTGTCATTAAGGACTGGATCATATCACTGTGACTCCATATCTGTCCCTGTGCAGAGGATGCTGAGATAGCAGCAGCAAGCACACACCCCACATCCAGCTGGGAAGGGCACCTGCTGCTTCTCTCAGTCCATGCCCGTGAGGCCACAGATTTGTTCAGGCCAGAAAGGCCCCTGAGCTGCCAGCAGCACATGGACAGGCCCTGGCTGAGACAGACACCAAGCAGAAACCCCAGGCTCTGCTCAGGGAGCGGGGAATGGGCCTGCACACAGCAACAACGGCACCAAGCACAAACCCAGGCTCTGCTCAGGGAGCAGGGAATGGGCCTGCACACAGAACAACGGCACCAAGCACAAACCCCAGGCTCTGCTCAGGGAGCAGGGAATGGGCCTGCACACAGCAACAACGGCACCAAGCACAAACCCAGGCTCTGCTCAGGGAGCGGGGAATGGGCCTGCACACAGAACAATGGCACCAAGCACAAACCCCAGGCTCTGCTCAGGGAGCGGGGAATGGGCCTGCACACAGCAACAACGGCACCAAGCAGAAACCCAGACTCTGCTCAGGGAGCGGGGAATGGGCCTGCACACAGCAACAACGGCACCAAGCAGAAACCCAGACTCTGCTCAGGGAGCAGGGAATGGGCCTGCACACAGAACAACGGCACCAAGCACAAACCCCAGGCTCTGCTCAGGGAGCGGGGAATGGGCCTGCACACAGAACAATGGCACCAAGCACAAACCCCAGGCTCTGCTCAGGGAGCGGGCAATGGGCCTGCACACAGCAACAACGGCACCAAGCAGAAACCCAGGCTCCGCTCAGGGAGCGGGGAATGGGCCTGCACACAGCAACAACGGCACCAAGCAGAAACCCAGGCTCCGCTCAGGGAGCGGGGAATGGGCCTGCACACAGCAACAACGACAGAGAGCACAGTGAGAGCACGGCCAGACACAGCTCACACAGCACAAAGGGCTCGCCAGAGATCCTGGGGACAATCTCTGGCTCCAGGGAGCAGCACATCCTGTCAGTGAACCCACACTGATGGAGAGCAGTCCCACTAGGCCTCCTTATAAAGAGACAACGATCACAGAACTACAAAACATGACAGCTTGAGATATCCAGTCCTGTCTGTCTGAAGGACAAACAGAAAGAATCCCTGTAGGACAGGGAGGGCCCCGAGTCACCAGCTCACCCGACATGTAAAGCTGTCTATAACCCACCCTCAAGTGTCTAAAACATGCTTGCTCTTAACATTTACTGATGATGGACCTTCCACCTGCAACTTTCTTGTCCTTAAACTCAGATTTTCATCATATTACCTATTTTCCTGCAAATTAAACTGATTTCTGCCCCTTCTGCAGGGCTGACAGCAACCAGTTTCCCTTGCTGTGGTCAGCCCAAGTTTCTCACCCCTAGCCAAACCCACCATTCCTGACTGTGCTGTCCTCTTTCCAGCATACCTAGAGCACAGCACTGAAAGCCAAACACAACACTCTATCACAGCCTTGGCAGCACTCACATAATTACTGTGCCTTCTCCCTTCGTGTCCTTCACAGCACCTACCTATTAACACATCTCACTAAGATAATAATGATCCATATTCAATTCCTTCTCCCTTGATCCTTTTCTACAGCAGGGGTAATGAGTCAGTTATTCCCAAAAATAGTATTGGTGCTTTTAAATTCTCCTCTCAAAGTGCAACGCTCTGCATTTCCCTGACTGTCATCTTCCAACACTACTTCCTTGAGAATATCAAAATTATTCTGGTTGCTGATTCTGACCACTGATACCCTTGCAAACACCCCCAAGCTTGGTGCCTTGCCTAAATGCTGTAAGCACATTCTCTGCTCCATTTTCACTAGCAAATATGAACTACATATGTAAACTATATTTAAGACTGTAATGCATTCCTTGCACCTGCTAAAACACTGAGAACTATTTGAATAGAAACAAACACCTTCACCTTATAGTCAAGATACTAAAAAAACCCCACAAAAGGAAAGTGCATGAATTATATATAGTTCTCTTTCATTTCTGCATAATGTGAAAATTCATGAGTGCCCCAGGATTCTTTAGTTCTTTGTCTACACTAAAAGGTAAGGTAATGAAGAATAATGGATTTGAAAAATCTGGATTCACAGAGAAACTCAACTGGGGCAGACCACTGATCAGAAAGGAAGAAAAAAGGACAGTTCTCTGAAGTCTGTTAAGGTCACTTTTCTGGTTTTTTGGGAGTCCTCTGTTTTGGGCATGAGATACATTCTGTAACAACATGTTCCTAGTAGGGAAAATGAATAGTTCCCTTCAAGGTCTCACACAGAAGTACTAACAAGTGCCTGGGCTCTATTTTTATTGATCTATTAGACTGCAGAAATGCATTGATCAAAAGTCATGATTTATGGAAATGGTTTTCATGACTATGGGCAGAACTTTGTTCATATGCACAGAGACTGGGTGCAAGCACTCATCACACCCTGCAAAGTCACATTAGGCACTGAGACCTCCTTAGGTGTATTTCGTAATAACCTGCATTTCCCATAGCATTTCACTTTCATTCTTCAGAAATTGTACATAATAACTCTCCCCTTCAGTTTCCCATTAGAAACATCTGAGACCTTGCTAGATCATGTGGATCAAAACTGCAAATTACACCAGACAGAACCACCACCACGGCTCAGCTCATTACAGACTAGGAGAAGCTGTAAGGTTCCTCATCCTCACTGCCCAACACACCCAAACACCCCCTGCAGCCACAGACTGTCTTTTTTTAATACCCCAACAAGAAAACATTACATTTAAATCTGTCTCTGAAGAACCTTTTTTTCTTGGAAAGGTCTAAAAATAAATTCATGTTGTTTTTTCAGCAGAGAGGAAATCCCAGAGAACAGAAGAGACAGAACCTAGGGAAGTCATGATGAAAGAGCAAAGTCCAGATCAGCATCTGATGTTAACACCCACTTCTGCAATTATCTAGTGCTGGAATCACACCCCATGCATATGGATCTGGAAAAATTAACATGAACCTACAGTATCACACAACTGCCTGCCCAATTTCTGGGTCAGAAGCCCACAAAAGGAATAAACCTGGTACCTTTTCTGTTTTCACAAGCTGTCTACTTAAATAAACATGCTTATGCCAACAAAGCCAGAACACTGTTCAGTACTCAGAAGTCAGCCTATGTGAACATTCATGAGATTTCAAAATCAAGCTTTCAATTGTAAGATGTGAAACAACCACACGAGGAGGGGAAAAGTGTTGAATGTTCGTGTACACATACATGACTACAATATAAGTAAGCAGCAAAGACCAGAGCTGTGAGTACATGGTAAAAAAGCCAGACCAGATTTCCAGGCAGGCTTAGAGAAATCTGAAGAAGATTTCTTCAGATTTCCATAGAACACGCTCTTTTTGCAGAAGCCCCAGAGGTGAGGGCTGTGGTGCCTGACCCAGGTGAGATGCTGCCAAGCCCCAGCAGCTCCAGGCGTGGTGCAGCAGCAGGGGGACAGTGTCAGCTCCACACTGTGCCTGACTCTGTGATCACTGTGCCCTGAGCTGTCCCAGGGGCAGTGTCAGCTGCACACTGTGCCTGTCCCTATGCCCTGAGCTGTCCCAGGAACAGTGTCAGCTCCACACTGTGCCTGACTCTGTGATCACTGTGCCCTGAGCCCCTCTGACTGCACGGGGTCACACCAACACCACAACTGCTCATGCACCATCACAATTCACTGAGCACCCCGTGCTCAACGGACAACAAAGCAGGTGGGGAACCTACCTGCTCTATGAACAGACCAATCTACACATGAAAATACCTGCTTGAAATTGTTGTTAACAAACGTACATAAAACAAACGTAATCAGAAACAACTTTAAGATGCAACTTACCAATCAGTAATACACCACCTTGTTCGAATGAAACCTTTTCTGGACCACTTGCACTGAAAAATAAATGAATAAGAACCAATCACCTTAGGTGAAGAATACTGTGAAAGTGAAATGTACTGACACAAAGAACAAAATGAAGCAGAGTTCATCCATACATTATAACCAAGAAGCACTGAACACAAACTGAGGTACCTTTAAAACAGATATTGTGTCTTTTATAAATCCTGGAATTAATTATATTTTTGATCCTGCAGCAGTTACAAAATTATATGTAAAATTAATAAAAGCCCTGGCAGTTGTTTACAAATGAAAGATAACCAAATAGGAAAGCTTTCCAGCTATATTTATGCTTAGCTTAAACCAGCAAATTCTTATTGCCTATGCACAAATGTTTTCTCTGTAATTTTACCTGAACTGTAAAATGTCATCAGAGATTTACATCAAATTAAAATGAATGAGATCTGTTAGAAAGCTATTTCTCTTGCTAAGCCAAGCCACCCAATATTTCTATAAAAGGTAGGAATTTAAATGGCGGTAAAAGATTCCATTCATCACAGCCACACCATTGGTGAGAAAGCCACAATTCAGCTTGGGCCCATACGTGTCACTCACATACAAGAAGGGGTTGTTCAGCACCACTTCCAAGCCACTGCCACAATCCACAACCACCCATAAAAATACACGATTCTGCATCCTATTTATTCCTTGTTAACAATGCATGTGTGTCTGGGCTAATCTGCTCTGGGAATGAATATTGCACCATACAGGCCTAAATAACCATGCCAATGATTTTGCAGCTAAAGAATGGGAGCACTTATTGTGAATAAATTGCCAGTCCCAGCAGAGTACCCCCAGTCAGAGGTACCACTCCCCCAAACCTCTCCTGAGGCACTGGCCAGGTGTAATTATTCTCTCTAAAAACAGACAGTTCTCAATCCTAAACTCCACTGAGATAGGGAGGGGCCTCCACATACCAAACCAGCCTGACTTCAAATGAATTACAGAATCACAGACTGTTGGGTTGCAAGGGACCCTCACCCTGTTCCAGCTTCCCTGCTGTGGCCAGGGACACCTTCCAGCAGACAATGCTGCTCCAACCCTGTCCAACCCAGTCTGCACCCTCTGACCATCCCTCAGGGAAAAGAGACCCATCTCCCTGCCCTTCTCCTCAGGCACCAGCACAGTGACTGCAGCCCACACCAACCACAAACAACACCATAATAATTATATTGCAAATAACAATCTATTTATTGCAAAATTTTTTAACAGTGAAAAATCAGCCTCTTCTGCAGGTCCAGCAAGCACTGAGGGGACAGCTGGCTGGAAAGCAAACACTCTACCCCTTCCTAACAGGATCCATGGCTGGAGCACAAATCCCACAGCCCAGTAATGTTGTTATTATATTGCAAAGGCTCCATGTTGTGAGAGTTTCATACCGCCTTGATGTGCCTCATAGGCAGCTCCTCTAGCACTGCCTCTCGCTTGTCCTCACAGCAGCCACCTGACTCCAGCCCAGCCCACTCTTTTATAACATTCTTCTCATTGGCTACAGGTGCAGCCCATTAAAGTCAGGCCTGCTCCCAATCTCTAATAATTGGCTCAGCTGCAACTCCTTAAGGGTGAGATTACTTTCTATACTACCTTTATTTTCTTATATTGTATCCCCCTACACACTTAGGTCTCTTCTGTGATGCTCATGGGGGCACAGTTACAATTAGAGATGTCAACACTTATTCAGAAGGAAATCTATGAAAAAAATTGAATGCTAAAAGCATTCAAAATTGGCTCAAATTCAATCTTGATTAAAAAGGGGAACTTTGTCATTTCCTTCTTAAAAACAACTGCACAGAACTTAAAATCAAGTAGTCCAAGCCTATGATGTGGTCCAAGATAATGTTTTCAATCAGGCTGCCATTTCTCATTTGCTATTTTCCTCTGTGGCAAAATAGCAAAAGTACTTCAAAAGATGCAGCACCAAAACAGGCCCAACCAGATAATCTTGCTCAGAGTCATACTCAGCTGGGTTTTGAGCACCCCCAAGAACAGCCATTCCAGAACCTGTCTGGGCTCATCTCCTGCTGTTTAACCTCACAGTGAAAGCTTTTCCCAGATTAAATCAGGTTTTCCCTCGGTGCATCTGCTGCCCCTCGTGCTGCTCCTGCAGAGCCCCAGGGCAGCTGTGCTCTGAGCCTGTCCCTCCCTCTCTGCTGTGGGCCACAGCTCTGGGCCAGCCCCAGCCTGCAGCTCCGACACCTCACCGGCAGGAATCCTCACCACAAAACACAGTTTCTAAAATCCCAATTTGAAAACTGGTAGTTACATTCTGCCAGCTTTTCCTTTGTGAATAGAGTCCCTGAAGAGATTGTGCTGACCTTTTAAAACCCCCCAGCACCACCACCTACATAAATAACCCCTGCTACATCGGGGGAAAGGACCTCCAGGCAGCATTAACATGAAGAGAGAGGTTAGAGAGGGCTAATGTCAAAAAGCACTGGGAGCAATAAGTAATGCACACAAACCATGATTGATAATGACCAGCACAGAGCCTTAATTCATCTTTTCTCCATCATTTTACTGAGGGGGACCATATCAAATTAAATAGTGACCCAGAAAGGGTTTATTCAACCATACAAAGCAGGGCATGAAGGAAAGACATATTAAAGTGGTGATGACTGCAGTGTAATTGCAGCTCCTTAAAGGAACACTGCAGCTCAGAGGGAAACCTGAAACAGGAATCAGCCAAATACTGGCAGCAAGAGCACCCAAGGTACTGAGCAATGCCCAGCACTGCCAAGGCTTCCCTGCCCTGGTGAGAACTCCTCCTCCTCAGAGCCTTACACAGGAGCCCCTGCTCATGGCACACTCAGGGTTTCACCGGACACGAAACAGAGCTGTACTATGGCAACTTGCCATGAAATCCACCTAGAATGCAGTTCCTACCTCAAAATACTGCCTTTCTTCCCTCAGATCAGTTGCTTCAGCAACTACTTGAAGTCAGCAGCTCCATAACACTCCAGACTGGGTCACTGCCAAAAAGCAACAACTGGTGGACAGAGCCATGAGGGTTTGGGGCTTTTACCTGGCCCACGAGAGGCCAGGAGACCAGGGAGGAGCTTTAGCTCACAGTGGAAAAGGTCACACAGGGAGGCTGAACAAAGCAGGAACACTGTGCTCTGTACTGTAAAATAGCACTTGTTTCGCTCTGTACTGTAAAATTACACTTGTTTCACTGTGCAACCGGCATATACCCCAACCTGCAAACTACCTCTAGCCACTCATAACATGAACACACCTAATTCCTTTAACTTCAGGAAATAATTCCCTTATCAATAACCTGTCTATTCAACATTAGGAACGCAGAAGTTAGCAGGCTTCAGGCCTCCCAGTGCAGCCCAGGAGCTGGAGCTCCACAGCTCTGATATGGAGAGTCATCCTCAGCCTTGGGTACACACGGCAGCTCAACAACATGCCTCATGTACTTGTGCATCATGCATGTGCTTTAGTATTTCTAAATGAAGTATTTGGAATGCAGAAAGTTTTGGAAACAGAATGTAAAAAAGAGTTATAGCTTGGGAAGGACGAAAGGGAAATTTGCTCTTTATTGCAGATTTCAAAGCAACAATCTTTATTTTTACTTTAACAAATAGTCACTAGCTGCTGTACCATCTGTAAGCCCACATAAAACCAGGTGTAGATGACATAGGTCATCTTATGCTCTCAGAGAGTGATCTACATTTTAAAATAGGAAAAAAAATCCTACTTCATGTCCCAGAAAGGGGATACCACATCTTTCACCTTATATTATTAAGTCTCTTCTCAGATCCTCTGTTAATAGGATTCCTTTAGCCAGCAGATGGATTGTGAATACAGGCAGTTTCATCTACTAAAAGACAACATAAATCATAATTGAGAAAGGAGAGACCGCAGTAAGGTTATCACCATACAGCCTCCTCCATGAAAGGTTTGCATTAAAGCATTAGTGAAATTAATTCATCTTTCATAAGAGCTTTGAGCAGTATCTGTGATCTATGATAACAACCAATTTCTCACTATGAGAAAAAAAAATTACTCAGGCCTGATAGACTACACAAATCTGCTTTTTTTAAAATGGCCTAACATTATCTAGAGTGTTGCTCCCAGAGGCATCATTTGAGGTTTATGCCTTGCCAAGAGGACCCATAAATCAAAGCAGAAAGTTTTGTTAGTTTTATATGCAGTGGGCTGTAATTATTTTGAATTGCATTATGCCTCAATCACTGTAATTACTTTTAGATCATCCTTAAACAGCTGCAATAAAAGAAATCAGTCTTAAACCATTTCTCGCATAAAAAATTGCAGATGTGATATGAAAGGTCTGGCTAAAACACACAAGAGCATGTCAATGCAATGTTTGGGGAAATATGCTGCTCGTGCTTTCCGCTGGGTAAACCCAAATTTCCAAAATACACATTATTTTGTGGCCTTTTAATTGCTATTACTAACATTTGTCCAGCGAGAAAACGTGATAGCAAATTAATTTTAGCTTTACACATAGAAACATGCATCTGAGAACCAAAACCATCTCCCTGTTGATTTTTGCTCTTGCTGCATCTGTGTGTTTGAGACACTTGTCTCCAGTTCCAAAGGAAAACAGCATGGCCTAAGAATCATTGCAATTACTTTCTAACTTTTCAAGTGACATGGAGATATCCTGGGCTGGCACACGCCAGGGTGCAGAGCTGCAGCGGGATGCTGCTGCTCCTCAAGCCACTGCAGAGCTGCGGAGCCCGTGTCCCTTTGCTCTCCTCCTGTGCCGAGCTCCGCATGGCCCCAGCCTGCCCCATGGCCCTGGCTGCAGCAGCGTTCCCAGGGATTCTGCTGGGGGCAGGAACAGAACTCAGCTTTCAACGTGCTTCAGAGATAGTTCATTACTTAATTGTGTATATCTTTGCACATTTTCTCTTTTCCTGCCTGTTCCTCCTCCAGGTAAACACTATCCCTGACGACCAAACACAGAGGGTTGTGCTCAGAACAGTTGTTCAAGGCACTTGGAGCAGTGTGAGCCGTGTGAGGGTGTTAATCAAGGCACTGGGAGCCGTGTGAGGGTGTTATTCAAGGCACTGGGAGCAGTGTGAGGGTGCTATTTAAGGCACTGGGAGCAGTGGGGGCAGTGTGAGGGTGTTATTCAAGGCACTGGGAGCAGTGTGAGGGTGTTATTCAAGGCACTGGGAGCAGTGTGAGGGTGCTATTTAAGGCACTGGGAGCAGTGTGAGCAGTGTGAGGGTGCTATTTAAGGCACTGGGAGCAGTGGGGGCAGTGTGAGGTGTCACAGCCTCCAGCTGCCCCTCGGGTTCCAGTGCCCACAGTCCCCGGTCCCGTCCCAAAAGCAGCACAGGAGGGTGCACTGAGCAGGAGCTGCAGCTGCTCATGAAGTGGGAGCACCTGATCCCTGAGCACCACTCCTGCTCCACAGAGCCGTGTGGAGAGCCCCAAGACTCAACCATTGCTCCAAGAGACTGTGAGGAATTGTTGATGCAAGAGGGGCAATAAACAACGCTGCACAAGTTACAGCTTTGCCAGCATCACACTGAAGCAACAGCAGTGAAGTAAATAGAGGAGGAAATAGTTCTCCCGGGTGTCAGGGGGCAAGGCACAGCCTGTCCTGGGGCTGTGAGGCAGCTGGCAGCACTCAGCCCTGGCACAGCACTGCCAGGCACTGCCACGGCTCACTGACAGAGGGGAACACAAATCCTGAGGAATGGCTCCAGCTCCCTCAGAGGGATCCAACACTTGGCTTCAAACTATTTGACATGTGTATTCACAGGAAGTGAATGCTTTGCAAAATTATGTCAAAGGCACTTTTCCTTCCGGTACTGAGGTATAAAAATAAATAATTTAGTATCCAAGTCAAGAAAAAGAACAGCCTTCATCCTATCAATCCCATAACTATTTATGCAATCCTCTGCCAAACACGAGCACTGTGTAAACATCTCTAAGTGTGTATATTTACAAATTCTAAATTAATTTTAGGAGTTTATTTAGTTCTTCCCTTTATTGAAGTAGTGACATGCCTGTTTGATCCACAAACGTTACAGCAGTTCAACAAATTTATTCACTTGGTTTGAGGAGAACATTAACCATTAAACACCCATGCTCTAGATATTCTTAAGAAATTAAAATTGAGAACATTCAAGGAAGTATCAAAGAAGTGAGAGTCTGCACTTTCAGGTGCAGCGCAGAAACCCCTCAGTTCTGCTTGTGTTTCTGGTTTTGGCAAGACCAGCAATCCCAGAAGTGCAGCAGGCCCAGTTCTGCTGAAACAAGTGCAGAGGGGTGTGAGGGCAGCCGTGGGGCACAGTGCCAGTGTGTGCCCGGGCCGGGTGTCCCTGTGCTGGCCGGGCTGGCAGAACCCAGCAGGAGAGAGCTCCTGAGACAGCGCTGCCACGCACAGTGCCACAGCGCCACAATGCCACAGTGCCACAGCGCCACAGTGCCACAGCGCCACGCTGCCACAGTGCCACAGCGCCACAGCGCCACGCTGCCACAGTGCCACAGCGCCACGCTGCCACAGTGCCACAGCGCCACAGTGCCACACTGCCACACTGCCACAGTGCCACAGCGCCACAGTGCCACAGCGCCACACTGCCACAGTGCCACAGCGCCACGCTGCCACAGTGCCACAGCGCCACAATGCCACAGTGCCACACTGCCACAGTGCCACAGTGCCACACTGCCACAGTGCCACACTGCCACAGTGCCACAGTGCCACAGTGCCACACTGCCACAGTGCCACAATGCCACAGTGCCACACTGCCACAGTGCAACAGCGCCACGCTGTCACAGTGCCACAGCGCCACGCTGCCACAGTGCCACGCTGCCACAGTGCCACAGCGCCACGCTGCCACAGTGCCACAGTGCCACACTGCCACAGTGCCACGCTGCCACACTGCCACAGTGCCACAGTGCCACACTGTCACACTGCCACAGTGCCACAGTGCCACAGTGCCACAGTGCCACAATGCCACACTGTCACACTGTCACAGTGCCACAGTGCCACGCTGCCACAGTGCCACACTGCCACACTGCCACAGCGCCACGCTGCCACACTGTCACAGTGCCACAGTGCCACACTGTCACACTGCCACAGCGCCACGCTGCCACACTGTCACAGTGCCACAGTGCCACAGTGCCACAGTGCCACAATGCCACACTGTCACACTGTCACAGTGCCACAGTGCCACGCTGCCACAGTGCCACAGTGCAACAGCGCCACGCTGCCACAGCGCCACGCTGCCACACTGCCACAGTGCCACAATGCCACAGTGCCACACTGCCACACTGTCACAGTGCCACACTGCCACACTGCCACAGTGCCACAGTGCCACAGTGCCACAGTGCAACAGTGCCGCAGTGCCACACTGTCACACTGCCACAGTGCCACAGTGCCACACTGCCACAGTGCAACAGTGCCACAGTGCAACAGTGCCACACTGCCACACTGCCACAGTGCCATAGTGCCACAGTGCAACAATGCCACAGTGCCACAGTGCCACAGTGCCACAGCGCCACGCTGCCACACTGCCACAGTGCCACAGTGCCACACTGTCACACTGCCACAGTGCCACGCTGCCACACTGTCACACTGCCACAATGCCACACTGTCACACTGTCACAGTGCCACAGTGCCACACTGCCACAGTGCAACAGTGCCACAGTGCAACAGTGCCACACTGCCACACTGCCACAATGCCACACTGTCACACTGTCACAGTGCCACAGTGCCACGCTGCCACAGCGCCACGCTGCCACACTGCCACAGTGCCACAATGCCACAGTGCCACACTGCCACAGTGCCACAGTGCCACAGTGCCACAGTGCCACACTGCCACAGTGCAACAGTGCCGCAGTGCCACACTGTCACACTGCCACAGTGCCACAGTGCCACACTGCCACAGTGCCACAGTGCAACAGTGCCACAGGGCAACAGTGCCACACTGCCACAGCGCCACGCTGCCACAGTGCCACACTGCCACAGTGCCACAGTGCAACAGTGCCACAGTGCAACAGTGCCACACTGCCACACTGCCACAGTGCCACAGTGCAACAGTGCCACACTGCCACAGTGCAACAGTGCCACACTGCCACAGTGCCATAGTGCCACAGTGCAACAATGCCACAGTGCCACAGTGCCACAGTGCCACAGCGCCACGCTGCCACACTGCCACAGTGCCACAGTGCCACACTGTCACACTGCCACAGTGCCACAGTGCCACAGTGCCACAATGCCACACTGTCACACTGCCACAGTGACACAGTGCCACACTGCCACAGTGCCACAGTGCCACAGCGCCACGCTGCCACAGTGCCACAGTGCCACACTGCCACAGTGCCACAGTGCAACACTGCCACAGTGCCACAGTGCCACAATGCCACACTGTCACACTGCCACAATGACACAGTGCCACAGTGCCACAGCGCCACGCTGCCACAGTGCCACAGTGCCACAGTGCAACAGTGCCACACTGCCACAGTGCCACGCTGCCACACTGCCACAGTGCCACAGTGCCACACTGTCACACTGCCACACTGCCACACTGTCACAGTGCCACAGTGCAACAGTGCCACACTGCCACAGTGCCACAGTGCCACACTGTGACAGTGCCACACTGTGACAGTGCCACAGTGCCACAGTGCAACAGTGCCACACTGCCACAGTGCCACACTGCCACAGTGCCACAGTGCCACAGTGCCACAATGCCACACTGTCACACTGCCACACTGCCACACTGTCACACTGCCACACTGCCACAGTGCCACAGTGCCTGGGCTTACTGCACAAATCAGTCTTTGCATCCCTGTCCTCATTCTTCCCAAGGACCTCTCACTGGATTTTGCTACATCATGCCATGACTTAAAACATGTATTACAGGTGTCAAGAAACAGAGAGACAAAATTCCAGGATTCCATTCCACCCTTATCCCTGAGAGGAGCTGCTCAAGAGTAGTCAGAGGAAATCAGAATCAAACCTGGTATTTGGGAATGATTCACAGTTCTGTACATACCTCAGGGAAATAATCCTGTGGAAACTTCTCTTTTTCCAGCATGGGTGTGCTTTCTAAAGTGTCAGAGTAGATTTCTTTCCCAGTAACCTTTTTATACTTCTTAGCTAGGAAGAGAGATAAACCGAAATTAACGCACATAACTTCAACATTATGAGCATCTTCTCACACTTATTGGAAAAACAGCTGGTAAATCAACAGGATCTTACAAAAAGTGTGCAAGCACTGAACTGTTCTGGGGAAAACCAAACACCCATGTTTACATCAGCCACAGCTGAAGTTGCACAGTTGTGATATTGTCATTTGTACTACCCAGAGCCCCATGAAGTGTTGGAGCTCTAATCGTGAGCCTGATCCCTGTACACCCTTGCACTCAAATCCCATCTCAGCTGCTCTGAGACCCTGCAGCCCCCAGGCTCCATCTGATCAACCCTTTGTGGCCATCAGCACACGAGCATGGATTTTTACAGCTGGAATGCGTGTTGGACTAGTACAAGAGACTCAGTGGTGCTGCACATCACTTTCCAAAGTCTCTAATTTCATCATAGACAGAAACAACACAGACTCCTATGGATCTACTCAGCTCGTGAATGAGAGGTTCTCCTTCTTTATCCACTTTATACTTGGTTTCTCCCCAGATGAGAACAATGTACTGGCACATCTAAGGTGAGAACCTGACTTAGTTTAACTCCTCTGCCACAGGAGCTCGGGCAGCTAATGTTCACCTGCCATTATCCTGGACCTACAACACTGGAGTCACTTTCAGCCGGGATTGTGTAAGAGAAAACTCCAAATATTATCAAGATTCCTAAACTGTTCAGTCCTACTGGATATCTGAGGAAGCATTTACTGTAATGCAGCCCAACGTCTTTGGAGGAAAAAAAAGTATTATTCTTTATGTGCCAACCCCTCTGAGGCCTGGCTCCCACGGGACAGCTGAACAAATGTCCTGATCAACTGATCTGGCATCATTCTAAGTAGACTGTGTATGGATGCGACCCTTTCAGCAAGTTTAACAGTGTCAGCAAAGAGCTCCTGATGCCTGTTGAGTTACAGAAAAGACCTGGCAGAAGTGCAAGGACTGAAGGCATCTGCTGGGAGAGCTGCACTGGCAGGCAGCAGCTGGCACAGGGAGGCACCAGAGGCTCATTGTGCCAGGACTGCAGGGCAGAGCATGCAGGGCACAGGCACAGCACAGCCTGCGGCATGCAGGGCACCTGCACAGCACAGCCTGCGGCATGCAGGGCACAGCACAGCACAGCACAGCCTGCGGCATGCAGGGCACCTGCACAGCACAGCCTGCGGCATGCAGGGCACCTGCACAGCACAGCCTGCGGCATGCAGGGCACAGGCACAGCACAGCCTGCGGCATGCAGGGGCAGCACAGCACTGCCTGCGGCATGCAGGGCACCTGCACAGCACAGCCTGCGGCATGCAGGGCACAGCACAGCACAGCCTGCGGCATGCAGGGCACAGCACAGCACAGCCTGCGGCATGCAGGGCACAGGCACAGCACAGCCTGCGGCATGCAGGGCACAGGCACAGCACTGCCTGCGGCATGCAGGGCACCTGCACAGCACAGCCTGCGGCATGCAGGGCACAGGCACAGCACAGCCTGGCTGCACCAACAGCAGCTCCACTCCACTGCTGACTGCACACCTGAGAGCAAGGTTCATTCTGTAAATACAGGGGGTCAACTGGAACTGGCCTAAAGCTCCTCTCTGAGAGGACATCCCTTCAGAACAGTCAGCTTGGCACTAGTTTGAATTGGAAGCAAATTTTTGGGCTTCTGATCAGTGTGAAAACAGCTCAACAGACCTACACTATAGCATATAATACGTGAGGTTGCAAGAGAAAACTATTCCTTTTTCAAAATGGAGATACGTCTTCCTGAGATCTGAAAAACAGCAACAATCTTTTTTTTCCAGTCTGTATTCAGTCACATCCAACTGTGCAGTGAATTTTGAAAAGCAACAGCGATGTTCCAGGAATACTGAATTGTGTATAAACATCTATTTTTTGCACGCTTTTGAGTAGAACCAGAATTTCATAATGATTTTTGTGCAGAGAATGTTTGTATCCATCTGGATTTTTCTTCTGATTTAAGAGCTTAATACACTGTGAAGACGTCAATAGTCATGAGAGAAGAGGCAAGTTTTACATTTCCCCTGAAGGATGGGAGCCTTTGGGGTGATATTTTACAAACCCTATGCTGGGAGACGGATTCTGCTCTGACAAGAACAGCGTGTGACTTACAACACTCATTCACCCATTTCCTTGATTTTTATTCAGAGTCTTTTCCTTCTAAATGATGTTTGGGCCAAATCCATCTCTATGAGCGTGGTTCACATTGGCAAGTTGGCTCTGCTACGGTTTTGCCATGCATAATGATGACAATTAGTTCAGTCCATAGTCACTACCATTTCAACAGTGTCTCACACTAATGGGATGCTAGACATAGTATTAATGTGAGTCAGCTCAGTAAGCTAAATGGAGCTCAGGATATTTTTGTATTAAATAGATACAGTTCTCAACTGATATAACATAAATTCTATATAATCTTTTCTATATTCACCTCAGGAGGCATTCAATAATTTTCTGTGTTATTTCTAATATTTAACATACCTAGCCCAGCTATACTTTGAAACTTGTGAGACACAACAAGACCTCCAACCTGAAGGATCATTGTGGGTTAAACAGTGCCTCCCTCCTATTGGCCTGCTCTGCTCCCATGTAATTTAAGCCCTAAATCTACCTCAGCTGCTTTGCAAAATGGCCATCACTGCTGGACAGTTAAGGTCTTGGTCCTGCGTCTGATCTACATGGAAGAACCTCGTGGCCATTCAGAGTTCTGAAATCCTCAGGGGTCACTATGGACCTAAAGGTGCATGGGAATGATTAATGCTCTGGCTTGCAGCCTGTGGCTGGTCCATTGACTCCTTCTAAAAGGTCTGTAAAAGGTAAGAAAAGCAACACCTGTCACCAAGGGACCTGCCTGCATTTTACAGGAGCCTGCATGACACAAAAACATTGCCAGGTACCACCATCACAAAAAGGATGGAAAAGCTGCCTTGATGTATAAAGCCAACTAACCGTTAAAAACATTTAATGCCTTTGCTTACCTTTAAAATCAAACTGGTAGATGTTTTTCAAAGATTCATGAAGAAAGTAAAAACTTCCTAGAGCCTGTAAAAAAAACCCAATAAAACATGGAATTATAATAATATGTACTTTGGCTAACAAAACTCAAAAGAGCATCGGGTTTTACAACCACAAGAAAACCCAAAGTCAAGATATTAAATACTAATAAATAAACCAACGTTTACACTTTCTAAGATCTATAAAAATTCTAATTTCTTTTGTTGCTTCTCTGAGATTTCAACAGTCATTATAAAGATGATCTCTAGCAGGTGACTGACTGTGGTAAGGGCACTGCCAGGTGTGCACTGAAGCACCAAACAGATGGATGTGACAGGTGACACAGACAGATGCCTTTCTGAGCCCCCAAAACAGACCCTCAATTCTGTTATAAAAACCTGACCATTTCTTCTTCACTTTCAAAGCAAAACCAAAGTTTCGAGAGCATGTGGTACAGGAAACAAGGGCAATTTTGAAGTTTTCTAACTTGCAGCTAAAGCCTCTGCAGAAGAGGCTCCACGACCTCTCAACACAGCCTGATGTGGTTTTCCCTACCCTGAAACTTCGATAATTCCTCAGCAGGGACAGCCCCCCTTCACCTTCCTGCACCAGCCCCCCGCCACGTGCCCCTTCCCCAGGGCTGCCCACCCACCCACCATGGGGCTCACAGTGCCCCCCGGTGCCATGGAGCTGTGCCATGGGGACACACAGGGACCCTGAGCTCGCTGCCTGCTGTGACTTCTCCACAGACATGCCATTTACTGCTTTTCCCCAGGCAATGAGAGGGAAATTGCATATTGGAAGAGAGAAAATGAAAATCAAGTAAGAAAAAAAACCAAACCAGAGCAAATAGATTTTATGTTGGAATATTTAAAACAAAACAAAACAACAAAAAAAAATTAAAAGGACAACTTGATGAGCCTTTAGATACATCTGACGCACCCAAAAGAAACTGAAAAAACCCCAGTCTGTTACTGGATAAAGTCTTACTAAGAAGAATAAGGGATGATTTAGTTTCATTGCATCCTTTCCTGTCCAACAACAAAGCCCCTCCCAGCACAGCAGGGCTTGGTCCGTGACTGCTGCATTATTTATGAGATGCTGCACATCCAGGGATGAGACACTGGCTGATTTGTCAAAAGCACAAACACGAGGTGCTGCCCATTCCTTGACATATCAGTCCACCCAACAGAAAGCAGCGCCACATGGTTAATTGATGAGTACATGTCCCTGCAACCCGGTTGGTACCTTCAGGCCTTTGAGGGTCTTTTTTAAAACACAGAGGAGGTGAACAAGGAACTGCAGGAGACACCCCTGCGAAGGACTCAAGGTGAAGTGTGCTGCAACAAGGACACATTGCCAGGAGAAAATAAATCCTCATACAAGACAAAAACACTGCCACCTGATGCTCCCTTCTGGCCCACCTCTTTCTTCAATGCACAGGGCAAAATCTGACATATATAAAGGTAACATTTACTATATAATAATACTCTTTAAGAACTCAGTATAAGGATAAAGCTTTTTTTCTTACATGGCCTTCAGAAGAAAAAGAAAGGACACTTGGCAAGCATCTGGAAAGTACCATCCCAAATGCATCCTGTCTGAAAAATTTAAGAGCAAATGAAGAAGGGATCCTGGAATGGGAAATCCTAGGCTGTGTCAGTAACACACGGCAATCCAGCCCAGCTGTAACATCTCAGTGATGTTTTTAAGGGAGCCTTTCCTGTTCCCCACAATGCAGGACAGCAGAGCCCTCTGGGGTCTCGGTGCCAGCCCTGCCAGGGTGGCTGCTCAGGGCACTGCTGAGGCGGGAGCTCCTGCCTTCCCCTCTGAGCTGCTGCTCCTGGGCCTGACCACCCTCTTGGTGACCTTCTCCCTTCATTTTATTGGAACTCACCATGCCTCAGCTGAGATGGAAATTTATGGCTGAGCGAAAAAAAGTAATTTGAAATAGTGACCGATCCAAGTCAGGTATGAATAATACTAAAAACAGGTGACCATTTAAATCTAGGTGACAGGATTGTGAACTCCAAAGCTTCTCCATGTAGCATAACAAGAAGTAAACCAAGAAAAAACCAGATGCTCTAAAGCCTGTTTCACTTAGGGTGTCATAACTCTATTAAAAACAGTACTGCCACTCATGCTTAAGCCACAACTTCATTTCTGAGTGTCACAATTCGTTCATTGCTTGACTTTGTACAGCTTTAATCTCATTTGTAAAAATTATTTCTTAAGACTTATGCCGCAGAAGTTTAGTTTGATAGTCTTCACTTGGGGACTGAGTATCAACTACTCGTGCACAATGAATCTGTGACAGTGAGGAAGTAACTCTGTCAAGTTTAAGGAGCTGATACCACTAACATTCAGACTGGCTTGGACTGTGCAATTCCAAACACCCCACTAAAAAGAATCAAACCTATCATGGAATGGAAATTACAGCTATCACTATTTTCCGCATTATTATAGACTTAATCAGGCTTAGGTACATAAATGTAAACTTGCACAAATGATGGAGTGCACTTATAATTCTGTGCCCTAACACAATGAAATATATTAAAAAAACTTTCCAGGGCCTACTGCTTAGGCCCTTTTGTTGAGGCGATTATGTTAATTCAATTTATTTCTCATAAAATGTCAGTTTAACAATAAAGTTAAATGAGATTAATTTAAAGTTGAAGAGCTTTGCTTTATTTTCTTATTTACAATTTCAGTATTCTTTGGAAAAAGCAGACCTGGTGCATAAAGTATTTTATGTGCAGCAGCACATAAAATATCTAAGTGATACAACACAGGAACACATTAAAGATTATAAACCACCCAAACATCTTAACTTTTAAACATCTCAAAGATAAAGAAAGAAAGCTATTATTTGTTCCATGTGAAAGGTTGCTGAGATGGATGACCTCTGCAGTTAGCAGAAATTCCACACCACCTGCAAATAGGAGCTTGCACTGAAATGGAAGCTCAGTGGCCGTGCTGTGCACTGTCCCTCGCTTCCCCCCGTGCAGGGACATCAGTGGCTGCCCCAGAGCACACGGCAGGGCCAGGAAGCTTCTAGACCAGCCCAGCCTGCTGGCCTCAGGGATACAGGGACTGCACATGTCATTGCCAGGACTGATCAGCCAGCTGAACTGCGATGGAATCCTTCCCTGTCAGGGTGGGCAGCCCTGGCACAGGTGCCCAGAGCAGCTGTGGCTGCCCCTGGATCCCTGGCAGTGCCCAAGGCCAGGCTGGACACTGGGGCTGGGGTGGCACTGGGTAGGATTCGAGCTCCCTTCCAACCCAAACCATGATTATACGAATCCTTGATTTATACCTCACTAATAAAGTCAGGAGCTGACAAGACAGAAAGGACTTCATCACAGTCTGAGGTGCCCAGTTACGCCCAGAAGTACATGGGCACTTGAGAGCAACACCCGTGGCCATGAAGGAGTACCACCCATTCACCACCAGTAACTCAGTGCTAAAACAGAAAGTCAGGTGGCACACTCATGAATAGTCATTTGTAGCTTGGCCAAGTTCTTAAGAAACACACAAGACAGTAAAACTGATTCCTCTGCTGTCCCCTGTTCACTACAACCAACAGCTTGGCTTTAACAGCCCTAAAACCAGTCAGAGCAGCACCCAAGATCCTGTAGGCACAGCAGGGAAAATTTCCTTTGTAAACTCCCAGGACCTCTTTCGATATCACGGTCACTAACTGCAGAGTACACAGGCAAACACATCCTGGCTTTTGTGAGAATGGCCCTCATGGAAACGCTCAGGACTCGGGGAAAGGCCAGACATTTTATCTCAGGCAATGCTGCTGTTAACAGAATGCTTTTTCCGGACTGACAGAAGTACCTGACCCTTCCCACCACACCTGCGTGCACACCTGTACTGCAGCTGGGGACACAGAGAGCCCACTGAATGTAGGGTGAGCACGTTCATTACAAGAGCTTCGCATCTCCCCAGAAAAGTATCGTGGAGAAAAAAACAGGCATCTTCTCCCTGTTAGCACACTGAAGCTGAACATTCACTGCATTTAATAACGCTCTAGAATGATACTCAGTATGGTATTAGAGATTTCTTTCATTAATCCATACAGAAAGACTGATCTGGGAAAACTAGTGCTGATGGCAAGAGAAACAATTGGTTCTGATGGATTACACATGCAGCGTTATTAAAAGCACTATTCCTTTAATTCTACAGGAATTTTGCCACAAAAACTTGAAGATTTTAATAGCTATAGGGTTTTTTTAAACAGTTAATCGGCATAATTTCTTTTTAAAGTCGACCATTTCAAGTGTGGATATTTAATGCAAAAAGGAAATAGATGAATAAAAGTCTAATTACTGTACAGAGTAAACATTTACTGCATTACCTCACTAAATGTGACAGTTAATATATAAAGATTGCTTTAAATATATTTAAAATAAATTGCCAATGATGACACAAAAACTGTAATTCATGTAGTCATAAAATCCATAATTAGCTTTAATGAATATTTAAAGTCAAAGTTCAGCCCAACTTTTTCAATGTTTAACCTCCTATATCAATATAGTTCAAGGAATTCATTTATCATGGAACATGACAATGTCTGAATATGAATTAGCGCGAGCACTGCTGACAGGAAGCCCTTATCTCCTACCAGCCTTTTTGGCTCTGCTGAATGTCAACAGTGAGTTTGGCACGCCTGACTCTATTGATCGTGCGCCTGCTTTGCTACCAACAATTAAAAAAGTATTTCACATGTTTATAAACCCGAACATGAAGCGCAGGCATTGGTTTCCCATTAGCGGATGGAGTCTGTGCGCGGCCACTCTCGCTGGTGGGGCTGCCACCCCAGACAGGCTGACAGCAACGTAACCCGGAGCTGCCACGGAGACTGCCAGCCTGGGCTCACTGCTGGCACAGCGGCGCTCCAGAGCCTCAGACAGAAAATCCTGAGTGGGAGAAAGGGGGGCCTGGACCAGCCCGGGGCCGCCTCAGACAGAAAATCCTGAGTGGGAGAAAGGGGGGCCTGGACCAGCCCGGGGCTGCCTCAGACAGAAAATCCTGAGTGGGAG